ATAGCAAGAGGGGAAGAATGAAGGGGGGAAAATCGGAGGGGGAGACGAACCATGAGAGAGGATGGACTCTGAAAAACAAACTGAGGGTTCTTGGGGGGGGGAGGATGGGTTAGCCTGGTGATGGGTATTGAGGAAGGCACATTCTGCATGGAGCACTGGGTGTTATGCACAAACAATGAATCATGGAACACTATTCAAAAACTAATGATGTAATGTATGGTGTTTAACATAACAATAAAAAAATTTAAAAAAAAGATCTGGGTGGTAATAGTGAATGCAATTTTTCCTCTATTATTTTATGCTTTTTTGTTTCAAACAAAAGTTTTAGACTCTAATGTCATTTAGGATGAAAGATGGACAGCAAACGCAGAGATAATAATTACCAGGCTTCCTCTTCAGCATATGTTCTGCTTCTATTGCTGTTATTTCGGATACTGTGGTGAACACATGAGCACAATGGACAGAGGCCCGCTCCATGCAATACCGGTGGTAAATCTGCCTTTCCCCAGCCTCTTTGTCTATGTTAAACTGTTAAAAAAAAAAAAAAAGAAAAGAAAGAAAAAGCAAATCACATATACATTTGATATACTTTTGCTCATACAATTGACCCTTGACCAACATGGGGGTTAGGGGGACCGACCCTCTGCGTAATCAGAAATCCGCATTTAACTTTTGACTCCCCTAACACTTAACTACTAATAGCCTACTGTTGACCAGAAGCCTTACCAATGACAAAAACAGTTGATTAACACATATTTTGTATATTATGTGTACTATATATTGTATTTTTACAATAAAGTAAGCTAGAGAAAAGAAAATGCTAGTAAGAAAATCATAAGGAAGAGAAAACACATTTATACGACTGTACTGTATTTATAAAAAAAATCAATGTACAGGGGCGTCTGGGTGGCTCAGTCGTTAAGCATCTGCCTTCAGCTCAGGTCATGATCTCAGGGTCATGGGATCGAGCCACGCATCGGACTCCCTGCTCCGTGGAAGGCCTGCTTCTCCAACTCCCACCCCCCCGCTTGTGTTCCCTCCCTCGCTGTGTCTCTCTCTGTCAAGTGAATAAATAAAATCTTTAAAAAAAAAAAAATCCATGTATAAGGACCCGCACAGTTGAAACCTGTATTGTTCAAGGATCAAATGTACTGATCCTTCTACACAAGCAAAACAAAATCACATATTATTCATATTGTTTTTCCTCAATGCTGTGTAGTCTTATGACCACAAAAAAGTAATAACGTTTTATTATACCTATTACTAAAATGCACAGCTACTCATGCTTTATTTTATTATGTTATGTTAATCACCATACATTACATCATTAGTTTTTGAGGTAGTGTTCCATGATTCATTGTTTGCGTATAACACCCAGTGCTCCATTCAATACGTACCTTCTTGAATACCCATTACCAGGCTAACCCATCCCCCCACCTGCCTCCCCTCTAGAACCCTCAGTTTGTTTCTCAGAGTCCATAGTCTTGCATGGTTCGTCTCCCCCTCCGATTCCCCCCCTTCATTTTTCCCTCCCTACTATCTTCTTCTTTTAATAACATATAATGTATGATTTGTTTCAGAGGTACGGGTCTGTGATTCAACAGACTTACACAATTCACAGCGCTCACCATAGCACATACCCTCCCCAGTGTCTATCACCCAGCCACCCCATCCCTCCCACC